AGGGGGCAGGGCTTCGTCATGTGCCCCGCCCCCGTACCTCACCCGGGGGAACTGCGATCCCCCCCGAAATGACCTCTGCATGTAATAAACAGACTGGCATACAAGACGCGTACATTACCTTCCCGTGTGACCACAGCCTTATACTGCTCAGGGTCACTTGGGGACATATTCATGCTTTTGTGAGGTAGACATCAGTGAGCAAATGTTACTGTCTCTCTTACACCAATGCAGAAAGGATGCTGAAGAGATCAAAGCTGGGGGGGAAACAATGTTAATTTTTTTAATAAAGAGACCCTGGGGGACTCTGTATTCTGATTTCATGCCTGGGCCTCTCTAACTAATTTCACTACCAATAGCCTTCAGTGTTATCTGCAAGGATATCCAACAGTCTAAAAAGAAACCTTTGCACACAGGAAACTAGAGTATCAGGAAGACAGGTTAATCTAGAAACTTTCATCTTGACATGCTGATCTTCGATACACAAAATTTATATAAGAACATGGAACCATGCAATGCCTCAAACACGCAGTCTGAAAAAAAGAATCCAACTAAAAGCTGCAGCACAGGGTTCTCCCAATCATCAGTTAACAGCTTCCGGAGAGAATTATTAGCACCTGTGCATAACTAAATTTCCCAGAGTTCTTCAAGGGAATTTTAATCAACTTTAAAACTAAATTCAGAGTCTAATTGCAGTAATTTTCTTATATGCTTGTAAATGTTGGCAAAACCAAACCAGTTCTGGCAAATGAAAATGATGGTTTAAAACTGGTTGGCCAAAGAGAAACACTACCTACAGGGGTTTTGTTGCAAACGCAGGGGAGGACGGTCACTGTGAAAAGAATCCCAATGAGCAGAAAGTTTTAAAACCACTGCAACAGTACTTCATCCTTTGGTACAGAACTGATTTTGCATTTTTAAACTGAAAATTAGAATTTTTAAAAACAACAGTTCCCCCTCCTCAACTCTTTTTCATTTCCAAATTTGTCTCTACCATCTTTACAGTAGTCAAATGCTCATACAACTTTCCACTAAAGTTTGGCTACCACATCTAGTTGCATTACAGTCGAGCAGAGTTGAAAACATAAAGAAAACCTTCACTCAATCACGGCAATCAAACCAAAAACAATTGCTACAAACCTGCACATCTTGTGACCCTCCAAAGAACAACACAATACTTGATAAGTACCCCCTTGCCTCCCTCTTTTGACAATCCAAATTTTGTGTGTATGTGTGTGTGTGTGTGTGTGCCTGCTTTTGGGGGGTTTACAAGCTGTGCTGGCCTGTTTTTGTTCTGTAATCCTAGTACTACTTCATTGGTTATTGGATGTCTTATGCTGTCTGACTGAATTGGTTTTTTCTTTTAATAGTTTCTTCAAGAAAGGTGGGCTATAGATGAAGCAAATAGAAATGAAATATCACATAACACAACACCACAGACAAAACTGCCTTGCATGACTGGTAACACACTGAGATGAGCACAGAGGGTTGCCACCTGAAAAAGCTCCAAAACAAGGAACATCTGGAAAAATGATGTATTAAGCAGAACATTAACTCTACACCATCAAGTCACAGCCAGCTTACAGGGCTCCCATAAGGTTTTCAAGGAAAGAGATGAGCAGAGGCTGTTTGCCATTGCCTTCCTTGGTGTAGCAACCCTGGACTTCCTCGGTGGTCTCCCATCCAAGTACTGACCAGGGCTGACCCTGCTTAGCTTCTAAAATCTGATGACATCGGGCTAGCCTGGGCCATCTAGGTCAGGGCCATTTGCCATCCTTGCATGTATTTCAGTGGCTTTTTGAGGTTACATTGCATCTATTCTTTCCCATAAAGATTTCTATTAATATTTAACAGTTCCTTGAAATAAGGCACAGGTGGAAAGCCTACCAAATGTAGCCCATCAGCCACATACTGTGATTAGTCTCAGTCACTCTGTCTCCATGCCTGTAATCCACACGGTGTGCAAACATGCCAACTACACAAATAAGAGGGGGGGCAGTAATGATTTCACTGTGTTTAATTTACATTCCCCCCCCCCAAAGAAAGACTCTCCCCCAAGCCATTACAGATCACAGTAAAAAAATTCCTGCTGCCGGTGACATTTCTTATACCTCAAAATATATATTTTCCCATTACCCATGGGATTTTTTTTTTCCTGGGAAATCTGAATTAGAATACACTATGGGGAACAACGGAGATAACAATGTAAAATTTCTGATACGATTTCTGACAGAACAGCAATTTTATTTTTATTTAGTACAGAACTACAAAACAATCTCCCATCCCTGCAAAAATACCTGACCTTGGCAATAGTCTCCTGTATAGAAAGAAATTGATTTCCGGAGGACAAAACAATGGGATAAAAAGGAGAAGCATCTAACATAGTTTTACAAAGGTAAAAATAATATCTGTCTCGAGCCACAGAGATTCCCAGGAGACCTCCCTGAAGAGGCTTTGAAAAACCATTCTAAGGAACATAAAATGGAAGTTTGTGAGCAATCATGTGCAGCTAATTTTCACAGGAAAACATGCATGTGTGCATGTGCACATGCACACCCACACCCACACACACCAGACCTTCTGACTATCTCACCTGGACAGTCAGAAAGAAGGCCCAGTCTGGTCTTCTTCAACACACATTTTAATGCAATTCATATTCACTCTGGAGTATATCCAACTGGGATGATTAGAGCTTACTTTCAAGGAAACATGTGCAATGTTCAGCCATGTGCACATTTCCCCCTAACCCCATTTTAGCAATGTGATGCAACTGACAATATTTTTAAATTATATATATATATATACACACACACATCCCCATGAGATTATTTAAATTAAACATGGATGCGGATTAGAAAAGGAAATAACCATGAAGATGGTCCTTTCCCTCCAATGTCCCTAAGAAGTATGGAAAGATTTCTAGTATGCAACTGCTCTTCCTTCACTGCAAAGACATTTTTGTAAGAGTTAACAGCAAAATCCTATGCAGAGTTACTCCGCTCTAATTAAGTGGGCTTTGACAGGAGTAACTTGGTATATAGCATTGCACTGTTAGTCTGGGGGAAGTAAGTAAAAAACACATCATTTTTAGCACCAATGTCAGTAAACCCAAAGTAAGCAAACAAAGTCACAATCACTTCCGGCATTTAGGAGGTCCAATGTACAGTAAAATTTTGGCTTTACTCTTAGCAGCTGACTTGTTCTTAGAATGACAGACATACTTCAAGATGGATTAAAGTTCTGTGAGAAGATCCAGTGTGGTTGCTGAGCACACCTGTACAACCAGCTTCAAAGAGCAACTCTCAGTTTTGGCTGCAAGTATTTAAACTTGGCTTTCCTTTGATTCAGAGCCCTGCGCCCACTGCATGCCATATCACAAATTCCCTTTGAAACTCCCCTGGATTTTACGGTTTCTCTTGACGCCCAAAGGGCAGCAGTAAGAGAAACCAAATTCCAGAGGCACCTCCAACATGGGAAAGTGACCAGGCCTCTATATTTCATATGGATAAGACAAGCCTTCAGAAACACAGGAGGGAGTGCCAGTATTATAAAGTGCATATTATCCTTCGAATGAAGTACCACTACGAAAACGTCTTCAAAAGAAAAACTGGCATGCTGAAGTCTGAGGCTGCAAATCCTAAGCATGCTGCTTTGGAAGAAAGTTCCACTGAAGTCCATGGGACTTCTGAGTCCTACACATGTAGAACTGAGCTGCAAGTCTCCTGCTACACAAGGAAGAGCCTGGGTATGGCATCTGCCCTCCACCCTTAGAAAGAAGCCATTATTTTTAACAGAAGGATATCTTGCTGCTAGTAATACACATTCTTTGCAGCTTTCATTGGTAGACTTCAAAGGATTTTGCAAAATGCTTAGGTACCGTTATCCCTGTTTTACAGTTGGAGGACTCTGAGACATGGGGCATGCAAGCAGCCCACCCAGGGTCACACAACAAGAGGATGAGCAGAGCCAGGAAAAGCGAAGCAACCTACATATTCCAGCACCAGGACATCCAACCTTTCCCCTGATGTCATTCAGCCATAGCTGCCATTTTAAACAAAGTCCTTTACAGTCTTTTATCTGACTGCAAATTTGGAACAGAAGACACATGGATACGGAAACCGTAATCCACCTGACAAACAGAGGACACTGTGGTACTTTGAATGATTACGGTAGATTGGTTACATTAAAAGTATCCAGCATATCCAGTCTAAAACAACGATCAAACTGGCACACGGCGGAGGACAAGTTTATATCAAGCCACAGTATCTTATCCATCCTTCTGTTCTACTGCCCCACACTCCTGTAAAATTTCACAATTACAAGCTTTTGTGTGAATCACCTGGACAGAAGGCTCGAGGTACATCTACCATAAAAATACAGATCAGTTGTCTTTGGATCAGATCCAAAAAGGTACACTTCCTTAAGTGGAAGGAGTCTTTTGAACAGGGAATGTCTCCTTGTATGAGTAGAAATGCACCTTTGGATTTAGCCGACGGTTTCTACCAAAGAATTCTGGGAACTGTAGTTTAGGAAGAATGTCATGAGAACCCTAGCACCACTCATAGGACTACAGTTCCCAGAGAACTGGGAAGGACTAGTCAACCGAGTTTAAAATTGTAGTGCAGATATACCCTAAGGCTGTCCCCTCCTTGCAGGTCCTTTGTCCTGCAACTTCTGTAGAAGAAGAAGAAGAGAAGAGATTGGATTTATACCCCACCCTTCACTTGGAGTCTCAGAGTGGCTTACAAACTCCTTTCCCTTCCCCTCCCCACAACAGACACCCTGTGAGGTGGGTGGGGCTGAGAGAGCTGTGACAGAAACGGCTCTTTTTCAAGAACAGCTGTGCCAGAGCTTGTGACTGACCCAAGGTCACATCAGCAGGTGCAAGTGGAGGAGTAGGGAATCAAACCCGGTTCTCCCAGATTAGAGTCCGTGCACTTAACCACCACACCAAACTGGCTCTCCATAGGCCAGGACCTACAGGAGCACACAAAGAATCATACCTGCCCAGTGACTCCTTGGAGATTGGTTTCCTCCACAGATGCCCCCATACTCCCTAGTAGGCAGCTGGGGTGGAATGCAGGGGTCAAAATTTGAGGGGGGGAAATCCATCCAGTACAGAAGCCTATGGGAGTGCTTGAAGTAGCTCTTTACATCCTGGCCAGATGCACATCTATATAATAAAGTAATTTCACCACTATACCCATTCACCTTGGCACCCTGTTAATTTCATCTCTCAGTTTCATTTAGCACAGGCTCCAGGCCAAGAAAAAAAAATGCAGCTTCCTAGCTGTTCATTGCAGCCTGCCAAGTTCTGGACACCCTTCTCTAGTTCTTCAGTCTGAAAACAGGCAACAGAAAGATGAGATTTAATTGAGCTTCTGAGAACTACCATACATCATGGGTGGACCAAATCGGGCTTCACCAGTCACAAGCTGTGCAGGCTTGAATTAGCAGAAGCTACAAAGTTAGCTAGTTTATGAACTCACAGATCACCTGATTTTGTAGCAGCAGTCCAAAGTCCACTCTTCTGGAAGCCTGGCTCACCTGGGAGCGGGTGGTATGTGGGTGCAACTCAAATATTAAGAACAATTAACCCAAGCCCCTGATTTTGGGAGGACAAAGTGCAAAGCTGGGGTGGGGGGGTGGGAGAGGTGAGGAGTACTTATTTTGAGTCACTGAGGAACAAATCAGGAAGCACGACAAAACAAGAAAGACCGCTTGGCCTGGACTCTCCCATCTTTAAGAATAAAACAGAAGGAGAGATCTCAAACAGATCAGAAGCAAAGTGAGTCACTGAGATGCACACAAATGCTGCAGGACAGGAAAATGGAATTTGGTTTCAAGAGGCTACCGGAAACAAGTTCTGAACTCAGCAATGCAAGATCAACGACTGCTGCAATATTTGCCACTGGCCAGCACTGTGGCTTGATTTAAACATGATGCGTGGTTGGCAGCCCAGTTTAAACAAGATGCTATACAGGTGCAAAGCCCCACAGGGGAGTGCTTTTTGCCTTGGCCTATACCACATTTAAATCAGGCCCAGAGCACGGCCTGCAGACAGAGTACACAGGTGATATAAGCAGGTTGTGTCCCCCTTCCCACTACGGCTGGGGAAGGCTGTTTTTAAATTCTCCGTCATGTTAAAAACGATACTCCGCGTAAGAAAATAAAAATCCAGCACACCAGGGAGATTTTGTTTTCGTCCTCCCCATCCTGAGCTACCTTTCACATTGCAAATTTTTAATGCATAAAGGGACATTCAAAATGTTTTCCCACAAGCTTCCGTCCAAAGTAGTACACAGTCCATTTGACCACCTCCAGAATCTACCACCTTCTGTGGCAAGTGTAACTCAGAGCTGATTAGTATGAGTATGGATGAAAAAACCAACTGGGAGTCACAGGAATCACAGCAGAAATGTGACTAGTTTACACTTATGCAGAACAGCGAAACAGCCTCTCCTCACATCTCAGCAATAATCGTGTGGACAAAGGCCCTGATGCAGTGAGGTTTCATAGTACAAAGACTAAATTTTCTCATAGCATAGTACAGTACAGATACTACCCTATCAAGATGATCATCTTAAAAATTAGCCAATCTAAACCTACAATTTGCCGGAAAGTACAACTGGAGGGTGTAGAAACCTGGCATTTTACAAACAGCCACCACCTTGCCAGTCTTTCATGTAAATTCTCGTGTATTATGTTGATTCAACTGTGCAAAATACAATACACACGCTAATCCTAGGTCTTCATTTGACAGATAAGAAAGTAAACTATAATTTGTATTTTTTCCACGCAGAATATTCAGACATCAAGAAGGTGTGACAGTTGAGACACAGAGAATTTTGTTTCGTGCTGGTAGGTTTTTCTGTTAAGATTTTTGCAACACTTGAATAAAGTTATCAGATGCAGTGGGTCATTGCTTGCAGCTTGGAATCCTTGACACTCAATTGCATCTTGTCGTGTCCCAACCTGTTTCCTGAATTCACGCTAGCTTTGTTTTCTCCCACCCATCCCCCAGTGTTTTCTACCTAAAGTGAACACACGCTGTATAAATATACATTGTATTCTGCATCTATGATGTTTTCTTTTTTTAAAAAAAACAAACCTATATATAAGTTTGGAATCCAGGTTGTAAAATCTCATCCCCCTTCCAGGACACATAAAACTGAAGCTATAGCACAGAGAAGAGGATTTGAGGCTCACCTGATTCTTACGCAGGTGGTTATTTTAAATCTCTCTTACTTTCAAATGCCATGCTCCAAGCTCTTAAAACTTTGTCAGATTCTCTGTTGGAGATCCAAACAAAGCGAATTAGATTAATTAAACTGGGCTAGCTTCCCTCTGGTCCCTTCCTCTTTTCAAAATGGATATTTCCTGTCCCCGTGGATTGCATTGCAACTAATGATGCTCTAGGAAGATGTAAGCTCCTCCCTGCGGTGGCTGAAGACTTGATGCTCAGTTTTCCCTTGATTAAATACCGCACAAAAGGTGCCATGCATCGTATGTAATATTAATTGCTTGTGATGCATGGTCACCCTGCCAGTACACAAAACAAGACTGAAGCCCGCCCCCACCCCCAAATATATTAACCACACACCTGTGCTTCAGTGTCTTCTCCACCCACCGTTCCATCACAGACTCTGCTGTTTACAAGATCTTTGCACCCCATTCCCCTTCCCCACCTTCCCCTTGTCCCTTCTCTGGCTGCTGCTACTCTAAAGTAAGGTCGCATGCCCACTGGAATCGTCATGGTCCACACTGTTGAGAATGGCTGTCTGATCCTCGGGGACCTGCCTGTGGCAGAGGTCATCCTTCAGTGCTGAGAGGCGGGCAAAGGGGTCCTGGCGAGGGTGTCGCTTCTTCTTTCGCAGACAGACAGCTTCATCGGGCCACAGTACCTGAGAGTTAGGATGTTGCTGAACCTGGGAAGCAGAACCATCTGGAGAGAGATGACAGAACAGAAGGAATGGATAGTTAAAATTCTGTCCAAGCATGCTAAGTAGAAACATGGCCATTAAAAAAAAAAAAGTCAACAGCAAGTAAGCAAAAGAAAGAAAGAAAGCAGTTTATCAACAATGTGCAGTCATTATTTTACCAGACGAAAAGTTATTGAGTGTCGGAACAACAACTAAAAACCTCATACAGGAAGGTTGCTCTATGCAGTTGAGGAGAACATGGAGGAAGATGTAATTCATGGGATTGCTGTGAGAATGGATGAACCTTAGCCAGGATTTAATCTGAATAAAAGACATAAATCAAGAAAAAAATATAACAGGAGGAGGAAATAGGGGAGACTGAGGAGAGATTGAGGAACTGGGGTAGATGGGAAGAGGAAAAGAGAGAAAAGTTGGGGCTGTACTTAAGATACGGCAGCCTGATAGTGGAATTGTGTGAAATAACAGCTCACGGGCAGTTGGGTGGTGGGGCTATAAACTATCTTTATGGAGACAAATATCCTAAGGGCAAAAAACCCTAGCAAGTGGATCTTTCACCTCTGAAGATCCAAGGAACAAGGGAGCTCTCGCACAGATTAAAATGCGGAGAGAATAGCAACCTCTGAGCCAAAAGGCAGAATCAATTCCCATTACAAGTCATTGACTTCAATGAGCATTGTGCCAGGCCCAAAGGGGGTACAGGCAGGGGTAGATTAGTTTGGAGTCTCATGTTCCTCGCACTCACTGATCTGTTTTTTGGATTTCGAGGAGCCCTTGGATGGCTTTTTGGGCTTCTTTATCCGCTGGTATTTCAGAGCTTCGAGCCTCTCAGGTGCAGCAGCGTTCCGGGTTGGAGATGGACGTTTTCTAGAAAGACAAAACAGACAAGCGCCATCAGCGGCCCTCTGCCGTATTCTGTCTCAAGGAGGTCTCTCAGCTGGGAACAGGGCATAAAACCTCAGCCAGATCTGTCATGGAAAAGGAAAAGATGAGGAGGCTGAGTGTGGTGGAAGACAGCCCATCCCACCACACTGAAGTTGGAGGTGAAGCCATTTTCTCACCCCTTTGTTGATCATCCATGTTATTCCCCCACCCATGATGTCCCCAACCAGCACTGTCACTTCTTTCTCTAGGGTTTTTATTTTTGGACCCCACGATAAATACTGCTCAGGTCGAACCAGGCAAAGGTTATAGAAAGACATTAGACTCCAGCCCTAGCTATTCCTGTGAACAAAATCAAAGCTCCTGTGAAGGGCTGTGTCTCTAGAGGAACCTGATGAGCCACGCTGCAAAAAAAAGAGGGTTTTTTTTTTGAAAAAGTGAAATTGGCACGAGGCTCTTGGTTCAACGTTATCTGCAATTCCAAAACAAAAATCATTTAAGTTGAAATTGCTATCTCCAATAAGGCACTTTTGGAAATTAAAAGGGAACAAAGAACAAAAAAAGGCACATTTAGGTGTTCTCAGTGGCAGGGCAAAATTACCAAATCTGGCAACAAAGGATGCATCCCAACCACACAACAAAAAGAGAGGGAGAGAAAGAGAGAAGCAAGAAGGTTATAAACCGAACATGGAGGGTACTCACAAGTTGACAGATGCAATGAGGTAAGACCTTTAATCCTGACCCATTTCCAACATACATTTTATATCTTCCATTTATTTTTGAGGACTGACTGAGAACTTATGTACATTCGTAACAAACACACATTGGTCAAAGAGAAGTGAAACTTGCAAACCATCTTGCAAGAGACAAGGGTGGGTGATAATAAGTTTCAGAAGGTAGCCTGTGTAAGTCTGCAGTAGAACAACTAGATTCAAGTCCTGCAGCACCTTTCCTTTGTGTCTGACAAAGGGAGGTCTGACTCTCGAAACCTCATGCCTGCAAAATCTTGTTGGCTTCTAAGATGCTTCTGGACTTGAATCTAGCTTGTATGATAAGTGAAACGTTTGGGAGACAGGAACAAAATGTCCAGATAATAAGGCACTGGTTCACAACACTGCGGCTACCAAAACCCCAGGTGAGTCAAGTGATCATGGTTATGAACAGATTTTTTTTTTTAATCAGACTTAAGACTTCCAGTATGGGGAAGAGGGTTCACTTTCCATTGCCACTAATGACAACTGACAGTAGCAAGTCTGATATTTCTAGGAGGAGGAGGAGGAGGAGATTGGATTTATACCCTGCCCTTCACTTGGAGTCTCAGAGCGGCTTACAAACTCCTTTCCCTTCCCCTCCCCACAACAGACACCCTGGGAGGTGGGTGGGGCTGAGAGAACTCTGACACAAACTGCTCTCTTTCAAGGACAGCTGTGCCAGAGCTTGTGACTGACCCAAGGTCTCATCAGCAGGTGCAAGTGGAGGAGTGGGGAATCAAACCCGGTTCTCCCAGATTAGTCCGCGCACTTAACCACTACACCAAACTGGCTCTCTCTAGATTTCTAGATTTTGTCGTTCTAGATTCTCAAGCATTCTGGTGTTGCTCTCCAAATTCCCATCAATCTCCATCTTCACCTATGATGTTCACAAAGGTCTTACACTTTTATTGCCATTTTGAAAAGGCACTATTGCAAGCTTTTAAGAAGCCTTGAGGAACAAAGATGAAAAGGGAAAAAAACAACAACCCCTAGTTCTACCAGAAAGGCCAGGTTTGAACTGGTGAGTATGAAAAAAAAAAAAGTAGAATAACTGCTTAGTTTCTAACTTCAGTCACTAAAGAACCAGAGAGGGCTCCCGATAGCATTACAGCATTACAGCAATTATGTGCTTATGACAAGAGTCCAGATGCACAGATTCCAGCGAGGAAGCCATATGTTGTTTAATCAAAATTAAAAGGAGTCCTGTAGCACCTGAAAGACTACAGACTGATTACGGAAGAAGCTTCTGTTTAACAGAGCCCACTTCATCAGATGCAGATATACTGTTGCTTTGGCACAGAGAAAAAGTAAATAATGAGGTCAGGAGGCAATGAAATGAAAGAGGTTCTCTCTGTGACATCTCCAAAAACAGAGGCAGACAAACAAGCACACCCCCATCACTTCCATAATTAATCTATGTTCAGACTTAGGATACACCTGAAGAAACAAAGAACAAAAAAAACAACAATTCTTTAAATTTGGGAAACTTCATTCCCTTCAGCATCATCCAAAGAGTTCTACCAGTGTTAATCAAAATCCGCTCCAGGGACTTCTGGGATCTGCATAGGCATTCCAGGATGCCCACAAGTTCTTTGTAAGGGGAGAGGGCACCACTTTCTCACACTCAGCTAATTGTGAGATTCCCTCTCAAGGGAAGGGGACATAATCAGCTTCCACCATTTTTCAAAGTGTGGTAGCTCACAGAGTTTTCACCACTAGCAGTGACCTAACTTGTTTTTATTAATTTGGGTATTTATATCCCACTTTTCTAGTCAGATCATCTCAGAGTTCTTCCAGATCATCTCAGAGCACTAGCCAGAAAATGTGTGGATTGCTGGGAACCAAAAACCTGGTTGTCTCTGGCACCAAGAAGGTAGAGGCTCTAACACCAGTCGTTAATTCCAGTGTAAAACTGAACTGGTTTCAACTCTATTCTCCAACACAAAGGATTTCAGCAAAGAGAGATGCCAGTGCCACTCCGCATGCATAGAAAATAATAGCCTAAGGCCGTTCTCAGTTGAATACTGGAAATGCATGTTGTTGTTGTTTTCTTTGAGCAACTCTTTGCATTTTTTCAGGCCCCTTCCCATCCCTGTTCAGCTGGCCTGTGGTTGGAAATCATTAACTAATCAAGGGATAAGTTTGATTAGAACCTGGGTTAGGACCTCTTGCGCAGCAGCCCTATAGAATCAGCTACCCTGTAAGACTTGACCTCGTAGACCATGTACAGATAGTACAAATATTTTTCTTAAACTTCTAATAGCTTCACTGTGGCCCCGTTCACACGGAGCAGAAGCCACGCTAAATAGACGGAAGAGAGGCGGAGTTACCTGGCACGATCACACGGCAACATCTGGGGAGCGTAGAGCTCCCGTGGTTGAACTGTGGCGAACCGCCGATAAAACGGAGCAAAAAACTAGTACCTCGGAGGTACTAGTTTCCGGAAACTGCGGGGCAAGGGCGGGCGTCTGATCGCGTTTCCGGTGGCATCCGGCGCCCGTCCATGTCCCCTTGCGAAGAAGATTTTTTTCCCCCAAGTCTCCGTGGTTGCGCATAAGCACTCAACGGAGCATGCGCATTCGTAGTGTACACAAAAAAAAGAAACCCAGTTCGCCGCGCCGCGCGCTTCTTCGTTGCGCCGCAGGCATGTGTTGTGATCGACGCCTCTCCGTAACCACGGAAGCTCCACGGTACCTCCACAGAACCTCCACAGGAGGTATGATCACTTTACTGCGTGTTAGTTTGCCCCGGGGCAAACAGCCACGCTTCTCCCCCGCAGTTTCCTGCGCGTGTGACCGGGGCCTGTATTGTTCTGAGGATGCAAGAAGACTGACGCCTCCATGAGGCATACAAAGCTTGCTGCATGCACTTTGAAAAGGGGCTGTCTGGCACATGCTTGTGTTGAGAGAGGGAGGGGAGGCTTGGTTTTCAACAAAATGGGAGTACTCAGGTTGCTAAAGTTTGAAAACCACTGTGTTAGGAAAACATACAACTACAAGCAAAAATATGGAAGCACCCAGTTGGGCCAGGAACAGCTGAGGCACCAGAAGTTTGACAAAACTTCATGGCATCTTCTGTTTGATATTTATTGAGATAAATGTAAGATAAAATGGTAGGAAGAAAGTGGTTCTGCTTATTTATGTTGTCTGTGATTAGACCTTCAGCTGTGCAAAACACAATGACAGCAAAGAAATGCCACCCAGTTTTGCATCCACTTGATTAATCTCACAGAACACTTTGAATCCCAAA